CACGCCCGGGGGCCTGCGCGTGAGCCGGACCCGTTAAAATATCCGCGGAGTGCTGCGCCGAGCAGCGCCGCGCTGTTCCTCTGCGGAGGAACGGAGGCTTCGTATCTTATCCTGTATTTGGGACAAAAGGCGCCACGCCATCACACCCCAGAGCCTGACCGCAGCACAACGTGGCGACACGCGTCTCTAAACACCTGACACCCCGCGGCAGTTTTCCTTCTTTTATTGTGATGCTCGATTAGGTGACTGGGGAGAGCACCTTTACACGCAGAAAGGGAAGCAAAGTGACTTAAAAATAAAACCCTCAGCCCACTGGGTAACAAGATTTTGCGGGCACAGAGGGTCCCAGCGCTCCCTTCACTGCAGCCTTCCTGTGGCAGCAAGAGCCTTGGGTGCCCTGTGATGGTACAGGTGGGACTTCACATCATATTCTGCCAAATATCCATGGCTCTGCACATCACACTGACCCTAAAACACTAACAATGTCCATTGTTTTCTGATTAACACCACTGCCCAAATACTTAGTCCTTCATCACATGTTGTGGTGTGTACACAGCTGCTCCAAAAAACTCACACAAGCTAGGTATTCTATTACACCATCAGGGGTAATAGAAGTGACCCAATTCTTCACACAAATGGATCAACTTCTAGTGTCCTGTAGGGCATAGACACCAACTATGACCAGGGCCTTGCAGACACTTTACCTCAGGGTATGGGACAGATCAGACAAAGGAGGAAGATGAGGAAGAGGAGAGCCCTGAGCAAAGCTGTGGCGTTTGGGTTTGTGTGCTGACTCCTCCAAGTACCAGCAGTTTTGCATTTAGTTTTGCTGTGCAACATCAGTGAGAGCAGTTGTTTCTGCCTCCACTCACCAGGAAAGCTACTGTGCTCTGACACTCTCCTGCGGTAGCTCCTTGCAGCATTTTGTTTCATTCCTCACATTTAACTTGTTACTTATGGGTATTCCATAATCACAGGCTACAGCGCAAGAGCCCCATGTTTGATACGTAGCATGTGTTTGATACGGTGCTGACGCCCTGTTCTCAGGAATTAATGGGATCAGAGAGGTCCCAGGGACCCGGTAGATCCCGTTCCACAAACAGGTTGCTCCCTCTAAAACCTGCTGTGCTCCTCTGCCCTCATCCTTAGTGAGATGCTGGCTGAGCAACTTCTTCACAGCTTTTGGGCCACTTCACACTATGGATGATGCACAGGTAACAAAATAAGAGTGGAAAGTGAGAGCAGCAGCTGCTTCATGCCACAGCTGATCATTTGCAGCATGAGGTTTTGTTAAATTCTCACAACAGGGCAATGAAGAAACAAATATGAAAGGTGCTTTTTCTCAGCTACAGCACCTTCAAATCTCAGGCTGAAGATTTGTTTCAGGTGGCAGACAGCCTAATAAATCTGGACTGTCACAGCCTAGTAGCTGGTCTCACCTTTTGCTACTGCAAGGGAATTGCTTGCTGTGTTACTGATAAGAGGGATCCAGTTACAGATGGGATCTAAGCTTCTGTGAGGGCAGAGAAAGGTCCTGGGCATCCACATCCCAGCTGCTGCCACTGCTTGACTTTCAGAGGCAAATGAGCTATTCTAAAACCTGCATTTTGAATCAGTGGCCAGCACAACTGGGGATGACTTGTGAGTGGGAGGAGGGAGGAAAAGAGGGAGTAAATCATTCACCTCCCAGTGCTGACCTGGGCAAGGTAGGCAGACCTGGTGTCTTGAAGGAAACATTACTGGAATTTATGCTCCGAAAGTCAGTGCTGCTTTGGTAGTCTGGCTTGTGCCTTTGCTGGCATTAAGATGCAGATGCAAGGGAGACTGTAAGGCAAGCCAGTTGCCCCAAGGTTGTTAGAGCAGTGTTAGTCAGATGTTTAACATTGGTTCAGCAAGGAGACTGCCACCCTTCTACTGGAGAAGAACCTTACACTGTCTTACTCCTGTTGTGGTGTAGCGTTGCCCAGAGGCTGCAAGGGTGCAGTGCACAGTGATGCCTCCCAGGATGCAGTGTGGGAAACCTCTCCAGCAGAGCCTCGTGCACCTCCTGGTATGTCAGATACAGATCCCCATAGACACCCCGACAGCCTTGCTGTCCTGCTCATAAACCAGATTTTAAGAGGTTGGTTGTGACCTGCACAGCACTGACTGGACTTGACTATTTAAAAGGTGGAGGTCCCGGTGTCACATCTTGGTAGCCAGAGTTTAACAACAGCAAATAAAGAACATGGATAAAGCACAAGTTCTGTACCCTTGCACCTGTCCCACACACTTGACTCACTAGTAGTGCTCTGCCAGCCTCTCTTCCTCAGGGTTTCAAAGTCTTCTGCCAGCAGGTGTTGAATCCATTTGGCCTGGCAGTCTGGTAGCCAAGCTTATCTGTGGGCAAAGCAGCCAAGAGCATGTCCTCAGCCTCCTTTTCCCTGGCTGCAGAAGAAGGCAGTGTCCATTCCTTCAGGGGAGGTGCACAGCCTCACAGGGAAGCACTGTTACCTGTGGCAAATGACTTTGTATTTGACTTGTTAGCGGGCAGCAGTGCCCAGGAACACAAGCCACAGCACATTGTCTGGGTTTCTCCTCCTGTGCCTCGTGGGTGCTGCAGTCTCAGACTGGTTCCTGAGATATGGTCTTCTTTGCCTCAAAGAAGCTTGCAGGTGCTGCCCACCAGACTGACAGCCGCCTCTCTTGTTCAGGGAGGGTGGGAATCCAGTTTTGCATCTTTGCAAATTACCACTTCTCATTTTTTTGAGTGGAGAAAATAAGAGCTAACAGTGATACACCCACATGCCTGTCTGGCTGCACACACCCAAGCATAGCACAGTCTGGAACAGTCATCTCTCAAATACATCTTGCAGAGCAAAACAAGATGCAATACATTAAAGTACACTTTTATCTGTAATGTCTTCTAGAAAGGCTGCCTAAAGGAAGAGAGAATTACAGAATAAGTAGATTTTTCTAGTTAGTATAAATCTAAAGCCTCCTTTGTTATATAGCAAGCTGATTTTTTCTTCTGAGGCCTGCAGTTTGATTTGGGGGTAGGAAGGCACTAATAAACTCATTCTGTATGTTGGTGTAAAGATTCCTGATCTTCATTATGTTTGTTTGTTTTTTTTTTTCTGTAATATCTTTGGGTTCACTGCACGTGTGGTTAGCATGGCAGGCTGCCTGCAGAGCTGGCAGTGGGTGTCAAAACTGCAGTCTGAGCCCAGTGATTGCAGTGGATCTTTGCGGAGTCCCATTGAAGAAGCTGTCCCGTCTGTATTTTGGCTGAGCACTAACAAAGCTTTTTAAAAATCAGGGCCCATGCTGAATGCCTCACCCCAAGTTTTACTTTCTGCCAACTGGGTTTGAACAGCAGAGTGTCACTTAAGGCTTCAAGAAATAGGGCCACCCATTTTCTGCTTGTCTCCCGCACTGGTATCACCCGTGGCTTCTACTCACAGTCTGTCTCTCTTCCAAGTGGCCAGGGTTTGGGCAGCATCGAACTTTTAACAGCTCTATTAAATCAGTCCATGTTGTCTCTACAGGTTGCTCTGCCTGAAGCAAAAGCACCTCACTGTGTCCATGCACGGTGACTGGCTGTCCCCAGACAAGTGACACCCCTGCTCTGGTTGGGCTCTCACTTCGTGTGCTGGCAGGGCATCCTTCAGTGGTACAGAAATGTTTTCCTTCTCTTTGAAATAGCCCAAACTTACTGAGCCCTTGTCTGCAGAAGACATAATTTAATAGGGTTTTGTGGTGAGGGATGAGTTTATGAGAGGGTGAAAAAAGGCTTTTTCATCGCCAGCAGGCTCTCCAAGATGCTTCTGAAATAATTGCTGACTGCTGCCAGGATTGGTTTTGTTGTAATATTAATGATCTCTCTGGGCATCTTGAGTTTCATATACATGTCTTTTTAATCATTCAGATAAAAATAGCCAAGGTGTAGATGCAAAACAGTCGTGCTGTGTTTCAATTTGGATTTAGAAAAGAGTTAATAATAACTTTAATGATACACAAAAGTACAAATATATAGGAAATTAAAAGCATCCAGAATCTAAACTACTTCTTCTGTGCTGTACAGAAGTACCTATATCTAAGTCCATACTAAGTGCAATTCCAGAAATTCCCCATGGTTTACTTTTCACTTTCTGGTAAACAAAGCCACGTGCTGAGGTGATGCATGAACTGAGACTGTCCCAAAGGATGTAAATAACTCAGGGTTCCTTGCTTTTGCCAAAAAAAAAAAAGGGGGGGATTTGCTCGAAACTTTCTGCAGGTGAAAATACTCAGGCTGACAGCTGAGTGTAGCTGCCTGCTACTCAGTTGACAGACCTACAGTTTCACAATTCTTTAGTTGTTTTAAATTTTATTACACTGTTTTACAAGCTTTATGGACAACTGACAACTCTGATAATGTCATGAGTGTGGTTACACCCTTCTAGAGTCAGATTTTTATGTAAAACTTTATCAGTAGCGGAATGGCGTTGGGAACCAGATACAGATTGCTTGACATGGCCCGGTGCAGTCACTCCCAGTCTTTGCTCATTTGTAAGTGCTCTCCCATTTACAGCATCCTCTGATCAGAAGAATGTAAGATTTGCAGTACATACTGCCATGACCTGCTTGGCATCTCAGTTCATATTTGATTAATAATAGAGATGTATGAAGTTTTTGTAGATTTCCTTACACAGATTTCCTTTCCTTACCATATTTACTCTTTTCAAAAGATCTATAAGGTCTTTAGATTTTACCCTGTTAAGAAGTGTTGTTTTTTGTGGGAAAATGAGTTGTTTAGTGCATCTGCCTTAGATTAGCTAGCATCTAGCCTAAGGTGACAATGACAGAGATAAAAGTACTAGCTGCTGCAGACCCTGCAGAAACAGA